ACGGCCGCACTCTGCGCGTGCGTCTCGCCGCCCACGCGGCCGCCATTCGCGTCACTCAACTGCCGCCTCTCGTGTCCAACGAATTGTTGCATTTGGCCTTTTCGTCGTTCGGAACCGTCGAGCGCGCCGTCGTGTCAGCCGACGACAGGTATGTCGCTCTCTGTGTCTATCGCCTGTCGTCTAACGCGTCGTCTGTCGTCCTCTTAGGGGTCGTTCGCTGAACGAAGGGATCGTGGAGTTCGCGCGCAAGTCCTCCTCTCAGGCGGCGCTCAAGAAGTGTCAAAACGAATGCCTTCTGCTGTCCGCCACTCCCATTCCCGTCGTCGTGACGCCACTCGAGTCGCGCGACGAGGAGGAGGGCGTCCTCGAGAAGAGCGTTCTTCACGCCGCCGACTACCGCCTGGAGCGCGAACTCGGGCCGCGATTCGCAGACCCGGGATCCATGGAGTGGGAAGTGAGTCAATCACCTCTTTGTCGGTCTGTCGGGTCGCTCACCTCTAACACCTCTCTCTGCCCACAGATGGCGCGCAAATGGAAGCAATTGGCGGACATCGAGGCCCAGAAGCGCGAGGCTATGGAGTCGGAGTTCCGCGACCTTCGCGACGGTCTTCACCAACAAATGGAGCTCTTGAAGGTGGAGGAGCGCACGCGTCAACTGCGGCAACAATTGCGCCAAATGGAGGGCGAGAGTCAGAAGTTGTGTCAGGAAAGGGAATCGCGTTTAGAGGGAGAGCGCCGGCGGGAAGAGCAACGCCGCCAAACGGAGCTTCTGTTGCGTCAGCAGGAGGAGGCGCTTCTGAGACGCGCGAGTGACCAGGACATCGGCCAATTGCGGCGCCAGGAGTCCGAACTGCGCCAACAGGCCAACGCTCTGCAGCAACTGCTCGACCGCCAGGAGGCGGCGCTGCGCTCCATGTCTGACGGCGGCGTTGGCGCAGTCGCACTTCAGGTCAGTTTCGCCAACTTTTGTCCTCTTTTCTAACCCTTCTCTCATCCAATCGCAGCCGCAGTTGGATCTGACGTCATACCAGCAGAACAATCAGTCGACTCTCGCGCAGTCAGGAAATCAGTTCCTGTCGTCAATGCGGCCGCAAATGGCGCCGCAGAACGTCATGCAGAGCGTGCAGCACAACCTCCCGCCCCAACACGCCGTTCCCCAACACGCGCCGCCTCCGCCCCCTCAGCAGCAGTGGCGCGGCGGCGGACAACAAATGAATCACTCGTTCAACAAAAGGAACCGAAGATTTTGAATTTGGCGCCAAATCTCGCATTTTTCTCATTTTTTGGACAAAAACTGATTTTAATTCGTATTTAAATAAAAGCGAAAAATGAATAAATGAATGAATTTTTATGCGTTTTGATTGGTTTTGAAGATCGAGAACTGCTTTGAGGCCAACGGGCGGTAACTCTCGAGCGGAAGTTTCGGGCCTTTGCGCTGAATCACGAGTTTTGACTGCAGGAACGCGATCACCAGTTGGGGGCACTTTTCGCGCGCCACCACTGACGGCACCTCCTCCGCCGCCTCCGCGCCCACCCATTCCACACAATACATGATCTGTCCGTCGCGCTCACTCACGCCCACCACGCGCTTCGCCTTCAGACCGCGAGTCCAGCCGTCGCCGCCCTTCGCCTTCGCGGCCGCCTTTGGTGTCATCGTCGTTGCCGTCGCCGTCGCCCTCGGCTTTCGTCCCCTTTTGGTCGTCGCCTTCGGTGTCGTCTTCTTGTTGTTCGCCTCGAACTCTGCGATCAATTCCTGCCAACAAAGAGTTCATTCACCTCTCACTCACTCCTCACTCGGGGGTCACTTACCTCGCAGTGAAGATTGTCCACCGGTTCCCAAGTGTTCTCTTCGTCGCCAAATCCCAACCATTTCACGCAATACTCGACGCGATTCGCGCGCTTCCGCTTCCCCACAATGGCCTCAACAGTGAACTGATCCATCGGCTCCTCCTCTTCTGCCTCCTCTTCCGCCATCGGCTCCGGCGCCGCCGTGTCGTCCGCTGTCGCCGCGGA